GCTACAGTCCCAGTACAGTAGAACAGTCCAGTTACAATAGGAGCTCCAGTCCCAGTACAGTAGAACAGTCCTGTTACAGTAGGAGCTACAGTCCCAGTACAGTAGAACAGTCCTGTTACAATAGGGGCTACAGTCCCAGTACAGTAGAACAGTCCTGTTACAGTAGTGATTATTCAGGAGCTTACAGGACTTGGTGTCTACAAGAACAGCTCCAGTTCTTGAACCATTGGCGAGTTCGATTTTTAAAGAACGTGGAGCCTGATCTTTCCCCATCTTTCGGTTTTAAAATAAAAGACAAATGGATGAGATTAAAAAGCAAGGCTCAGAAGTCTGCTGAGGGGAGGAGCCCTCTCACCCCTGTCTTTGATCCCTGCTCCCTGAAACGGCCCGCTACCCCTCCACACCCATGCGTTCAAATAATGGGCGAGTTTCTGGAGCTTTTGGTGTCTCGCTATTGTTGGTGTCAGACTTTCGAAACTCACCAACAATTTCATCTGAGGGCACGGTCTTGAGTCCTTGTGGATATCTGTTTTCATTTGTTTTTTCATCTTTTTTGCGGACATGTGTTGTCGCCGGTTTGCGGGTTTGCATCATCGCCTGTTTCATCTTTACTGTCCGTCGTTGCTTGTACAAGTTTAAACACATTCTCATCAACGACCTGTGTGCATTCTGCCTCAATTAAACTCCTAACTCTCTGCTCCTGCGTCTTCCTCAGTTTCTTCTCCTTCTTTTTCTTGTATCTGTCCTTAGGCTGTTTACGACAGTACCAGTACAGAACATAGCCAATGTAGCCGACAGAGAGCAGGAAAACCATGCACAGTCCTGAGACCTGGAAAGCAGCACAAGACAAAGACAAATATTCATGAGGGACATCTAACCCTGCTGTGTCTCCTGTCCCTGTACTCCAGCAGTGTCTCCTGTACCCCTGCAGTGTCTCCTGTCAATGTACCTCTGCAGTGTCTCCTGTCCCTGTACCCCTGCAGTGTCTCCTGTCCCTGTAGTCATGCGGTGGCTCCTGTACCCCTGCAGTGTCTCCTGTCCCTGTCCCCCTGCTGTGTCTCCTGTCCCTGTAGTCATGCAGTGTCTCCTGTACCCCTGCAGTGTCTCCTGTCCATGTACCTCTGCAGTGTCTCCTGTCCCTGTACCCCTGCAGTGTCTCCTGTCCCTGTAGTCATGCAGTGTCTCCGGTACCTCTGCAGTGTCTCCAGTCCCTGTACTCCAGCAGTGTCTCCTGTCCCTGTACCCCTGCAGTGTCTCCTGTCCCTGTACCCCTGCAGTGTACCCCTACTCTGTATATCTTGTCTCTCTCTCCCATTTAATTGGAAATAATGAAACTATTGAAGTTGCAGTCAGAAGTGTCGGGATCTGTCTCTCAATGCCCCTGACTAAAAGGACTCTGTCTATGTACTTACCCTGGATATAAGCTGCAATCCTTTCTCCTTGGGTAGATCCAAGTTGACTGTTGCATTTTGAGCTGCACTGCTGCACTGGGAATTGAGTAAGCACGCAAGGTATTTGCCATCAGTCAGCAGTATTGCGAGCCAGTACAGCGAAGGACAGAGGTACATCAGGACTTTGACTTTTTCGTCACACAGCCCTCTCAATATGGTCTTCTTGTGCAGGGCGAGGAAGAGGGCGGTGAAGCACACGGCCGGGCCGATGAAGTACGCGGTGATGAAGAACACCATCAGTTCACTGCAGGTACAGTCAAACACCTTCTTCATCAGGAGGTCCACTATCTGCATCACGACCACCAGCGAAAGCCCGCGGATCAGCTTGATTCTGGTCACCTTGCCTTCACCAGTGAAGAGATTCTGCATCTTGACACGTCGTGTGAGGACAGTGTGTCAGGTCTCCGTCTCTCTGGGCACACTGACTTCTGTCTGCAGATTCCCACCTGTCAGGGATGTGCAACACAGGCATGATCACACACACACACTCTTGTTCACACGTCTGTATTTGCGCAGTTTTACTTCCTGTTGACTCAGTTTCTACTGCTCTGCGCTCTCTTGAAAGGAAACCCAGATCTTTTTCAAATAAGCAAGCGTTTGATGTGTGAAGATTCATTTACACGGCCAGGAGTTACTGTCTTTGTGGAACCATTTTATTAAACTTGATCCCCACGTTGACAGTAACATGTCATACTCACACACATTAAAACATTTTCTATGTGTGTTCCACATTGCTGTTCTCTTTGTGGGTGCGAAGAAGATGACGCTCAGGAACTGGGAGCATCAGCACCGTGTACAATGTCTGTAGCTCCCATCACTCAGCAGTGAAGTTTTCATAGTTTCTACTCCTGCCCCTGCTGTAGGTGCAGTACCACACAGCTTCAGTCGCCAGACCACACCAGCTGATGGGGATTAACGATCTTGTGTTCTTGTTCTTTTTTACTTAGCATGTGGAGGAATGTCCTG